AATAAGATTTTTATTTGGATTTCATGTAATGGACATACACAAAATAATCCAAATTGGTGAAGTGGAATGAAAATAATAACTTGTTTCAAGAAATTCAAAAAATTAAAATTCAAAAATTTAAAAAAATAAATAAATAAAAAAAGTGGTGCATGCATATGTATTCACCCCCTTTGCTATGAAGCCCCAAATAAGATCTGGTGAAACCAGTTACCTTCAGAAGTCACATAATTAGTTAAATAAAGTCCACCTGTGTCACATGATCTGTCACATGATCTTAGTATATATATACACCTGTTCTGAAAGGCCCCAGAGTCTGCAACACCACTAAGCAAGGGGCACCACCAAGCAAGCGGCACCATGAAGACCAAGGAGCTCTCCAAACAGGTCAGGGACAAAGTTGTGAAGAAGTACAGATCAGGGTTGGGTTATGAAAAACATTTCTGAAACTTTGAACATCCCACGGAGCACCATTAAATCCATTATAAAAAATGGAAAGAATATGGCACCACAACAAACCTGCCAAGAGAGGGCCGCCCACCAAAACTCACGGAACAGGCAAGGAGGGCTTTAATCAGAAAGGCAACAAAGAGACCAAAGATAACCCTGAAGGAGCTGCAAAGTTCCACAGCGGAAATTGGAGTATCTGTCCATAGGGCCACTTTAAGCCGTACACTCCACAGAGCTGGGCTTTACGGAAGAGTGGCCAGAAAAAAGCCATTGCTTAAAGAAAAAAATAAGCAAACACGTTTGGTGTTCACCAAAATGCATGTGGGAGACTCCCCAAACATATGGAAGAAGGTACTCTGGTCAGATGAGACTAAAATTGAGCTTTTTGGCCATCAAGGAAAACGCTATGTCTGGCGCAAACCCAACACCTCTCATCACCCCGAGATCACCATCCCCACAGTGAAGCATGGTGGTGGCAGCATCATGCTGTGGGGATGTTTTTCATCGGCAGGGACTGGGAAACTGGTCAGAATTTAAGGAATGATGGATGCCGCTAAATACAGGGAAATTCTTGACGGAATCCTGTTTCAGTCTTCCAGAGATTTGAGACTGGGACGGAGGTTCACCTTCCAGCAGGACAATGACCCTAAGCATACTGCTAAAGCAACACTCAAGTGGTTTAAGGGGAAACATTGAAATGTCTTGGACTGGCCTTGTCAAAGCCCAGACCTCAATCCAATTGAGAATCTGTGGAACCCATCCAACTTGAAGGAGCTGGAGCAGTTTCACCTTGAAGAATGGGCAAAAATCCCAGTGGCTAGATGTGCCAAGCTTATAGAGACATACCCCAAGAGACTTACAGCTGTAATTGCTGCAAAAGGTGGCTCTACAAAGTATTGACTTTGGGGGGGTGAATAGTTATGCACGCTCAAGTTTGTTTGCCTTATTTCTTGTTTGTTTCACAATAAAAAATATTTTGCGTCTTCAAAGTGGTAGGCATGTTGTGTAAATCAAATGATACAAACCCCCAAAATATCAATTTTAATTCCAGGTTGTAAGGCAACAAAATAGGAAAAATGCCAAGGGGGGTGAATACTTTCGTAAGCCACTGTACAGTTGGCTGGGTTTTCTGTGCATCGGCAGGACAGAAAAGCTACGTCCGGTAAGACGAGGGGTGGTGGTGTGTGTCTATTTGTCAATATCTGCTGGTGCGCGTTGTCTAATATTAAAGTCTCAAGGTATTGCTCGCCTGAGGTAGAGTACCTCATGATAAGCTGTAGACCACACTATCTACCAAGAGAGTTGTCATCTATATTTTTCGTAGCTGTCTATTTACCACCACAAACAAATGCTGGTGCTAAGACTGCACTCAACGAGCTGTATAAGGCCATAAGCAAACAAGAAAATGCTAATCCAGAAGTGCCGCTCCTAGTGGCTGGGGACTTTAATGCAGGCAAACTTAAATCCGTTTTACCTCATTTCTACCAGCATGTCACATGTGCAACCAGAGGAAAAAAAACTCTAGATCACCTTTACTCCACACACAGACACGCATACAAATATCTCCATCGCCCTCCATTTTGCAAATCTGACCATAATTCTATCCTCCTGATTCCTGCAAAAACTAAAGCAGGTTGTACCAGTGACTCGCTCAGTACGGAAGTGGTCAGATAACTCGGATGCTATGCTACAGGACTGTTTTGCTAGCACAGACTGGAATATTTTCCGGGATTCATCCAACGGCATTGAGGAGTATACCACCTCAGTCACCGGCTTCATCAATAAGTGCATCGATGACTTCGTCCCCACAGTGACCGTACATACATATCCCAACCAGAAGCCATGGATTACAGGCAACATACGCACCAAGCTAAAGGCTAGTGCTGCCACTTTCAAGGAGCGGGACACTAATCCGGACGCTTATAAGAAATCCCGCTATGCCCTCAGACGAACCATCAAACAGGCAAAGCGTCAATACAGGACTAAGATTGAATCGTACTACACCGGCTCTGACACTCAGGGCTTGCAAACTATTACGGACTACAAAGGGAAACCCAGCTGCGAGCTGCCCAGTGACGCAAGCCTACCAGACGGGCTAAATGCCTTTCATGCTCGCTTCGAGGCAATCAACACTGAAGCATGCATGAGAGCACCAGCTGTTCCGGACGACTGTGTGATCACGCTCTCCGTAGCCAATGTGTTCAAGACCTTTTAAACAGGTCAACATGGATGGATTACCAGGACGGGTTACCAGGACGGGTACTCCGAGCATGCGCTGACCAACTGGCCAGTGTCTTCATTGACATTTTCAACCTCTCCCTGACTGAGTGTAATACCTACATGTTTCAAGCAGACCACCATAGTCCCTGTGCCCAAGAAAGCAAAGGTAACCTGCCTAAATGACTACCGCCCTGTATCACTCATGTCGGTAGCCATGAAGTGCTTTGAAAGGCTGGTCATGGCTCACATCAACACCATCATCCCGGAAACCCTAGACCCACTTCAATTTGCATATCGCCCCATCAGATCCACAGATTACGCAATCTCAATCGCACTCCACACTGCTCTTTCCCACCTGGACAAAAGGAACACCTATGTGAGAATGCTGTTCATTGACTCCAGCTCAGCATTCAACACCATAGTACCCACAAAGCTCATCACTAAGCTAAGGACCCTGGGACTAAACACCTCCCTCTGCAACTGGATCCTGGACTTCCTGACGGGCCGCCCCCGGGTGGTAAAGGTAGGCAACAACACATCTGCCACGCTTATCCTCAACACGGGGGCCCCTCAGGGGTGCGTGCTTAGTCCTCTCCTGTACTCCCTGTTCACCCACGACTACGTGGCCAAGCACAACTCCCAACACCATCATTAAGTTTGCTGACAACACAACGGTGGTAGGCCTGATCACTGACAACGATGATACAGCCTATAGGGAGAAAGTCAGAGACCTGGCAGTGTGGTGCCTGGACAACAACCTCTCCCTCAACGTGAGCAAGATAAAGGAGATGATTGTGGACTACAGGAAAAGGAGGACCGAAACACCCCCATTCACATCGACGGGCTATAGTGGAGCGGGTTGAGAGTTTCAAGTTGTTTGGTGTCCACATCACCAACAAACTATCATGGTCAAAATACACCAAGGAAGTCTTGAAGAGGGCACGACAATGCCTTTTCGCCCTCAGGAGACTGAAAAGACTTGGCATGGGTCCCCAGATCCTCAAAAAGTTATACAGCTGCACCATCGAGAGCATCCTGACCGGTTGCATCACCGCCAGGTATTGCAACTGCTCGGCATCCGACTGTAAGGCGCTACAGAGGGTAGTGCGTACAGCCCAGGACATCACTGGGGCCAAGCTTCCTGCCATCCAGGACCTATATACTAGGCGGTGTCAGAGGAAGGCCCAAAAAATTGTCAAAGACTCCAGTCACCCAAGTCATAGACTGTTCTCTCTGATACCGCACGGCAAGCGGTACTGGAGTGCAAAGTTGAGGTCCAAAAGGCTCCTTAACAGCTACTACCCTCAAGCCATAAGACTGCTGAACAATTAATAAAATGGCCACCCGGACTATAAACATTGACCCCCCCCCCCTCTTTGTTTTTATATTGCAGCTACTCGTTTTTTATTATCTATGCATAGTCACTTTAACCCAACCTACATATACAAATTACCTCGACTAACCTGTACCCCGCACATTGACTCGGTACTGGTACCCCTTGTATTAACCTCGTTATTATAATTTTATTGTGTTACTTTTTATTGTATTTTTTTACTTTAGTTTATTTTATAAATATTTTCTTAACTCTATTTCTTATACTGCATTGTTGGTTAAGGGCTTGTAAGTAAGCATTTCACGGTTTGGTCTACACCTGTTGTATTTGGCGCATGTGACAAATACCATTTTATTTGAAATGTAACTTTGTTGTCCCCTCCCCACAGCTTTTAGCTTCAACAGAAAATGAGTTCTGGTTTGAAATATAACATATTTGTGATATATACCATTTGCCGTTGCAATAGAACGTGCACAGCAAGAGAGACATATATCAATGGTGATAAATGAGACTGGAAAACATGACAACGCTTACAAATTAAGGGGAGGTGCCATTTCATCACCTTGGTAGCTATGATGACGTATGACGAAAAACCCTCCCACTCAGAGAGACCTCCCCCAGGGAATGAAAAGATGCTATCCAGTCTACTCTTCAGCCATTGTATTTGAAAGTAGTCGTCTGTATTCAACGGTGTGCTGTAACACAGTAATTTCGTGAATTTCAATGAAAGCAGATTTTAGCCATCCAGCTGAATTGAACAATACCTAGACTGCACACGGATTGTAAAGAAGATAATTCCAAAAATAATAGCTTTATTTGGGCTCACGCGATATTAATATTAGCAGCAGGCTACGTGCGCAGCACAACATTCCAGACGTCGGAATAGAATCCAGCTTTCTCGCTGGCTAATTATATAGCTAGCTACTTTTTTGTTTATTTTCCCAATAACTTTTGTTATTAAACCAATAGGCTTTTCTCTAAGGATCAGGTTTCTATTTAGATGGCAAGCTTCCCAGATTCTGTAAACGAAAATGAAATAGGTAAGTTGAGATCCTTTTCACTATCTTGTGCTTTTGTGTTTTGGGAGGAGGGCTTGCAAACGTGTGAATATACAGCTCGCTAGCTAAAATGTATTAACCTAGCTAGCTAGGTACTATGTTACACCTTTCATCTGTCGGTGACGCCATAGATAGTCTTACTTAATTTATTTTCTATTGTAGGTTAAGTCGTTTCTTCCATAGTATATCATATTAACTAGACTAGAGACTCACACACTACAGTAACCGCCTGTCACATTAACCCTGCCCCCGCCGTTTATACCCAGTGGCCCCACACACCAAAGACGATATGGTAGAAACTCTGTGCCCACACACAGCGCGAGCAGTCCGCACAATGTTTTCCATGTCCTTCTCTCTGGTGGTGGCGGCGGTAACTACGTTTCTGCAGTATGACTCATTCCTCACTAGTCGGGGATGCGCGCTGATATATCTCAAAGCTGTTGTATAAAATTGGTGTTTTGTTGCAATAGTTTAAAGTGATATATCAAGTCTCGTTTACTTGGCCAACCGAATGTTTATGGTACCCAGTTAAAATAAGTTGGGCTAATAATATAAAATAAAATTGGTGTTTTGTTGCAACACTGCATAATAAATGAAAGTGATATACAGTACCAGTCAAAAGTTTGGATGCACCTAGGCATTCAAGGTTTTTCTTTATTTTTACTATTTTCTACATTGTAGAATAATAGTGAAGACATCAAAACTATGAAATAACACATGGAATCATGTAGTAACCCAAAAAGTGTTAAACAAATAAAAATATATTTTATATTTTAGATTCTTCAAAAGTAGCCACCCTTTGCCTTGATGACAGCTTTGCAGACTCTTGGCATTATCTCAACCAGCTTCACCTGGAATGCTTTTCCGACAGTCTTGAAGGAGTTCCGACATATGCTGAGCACTTGTTGGCTGCTTTTCCTTCACTCTGCCTCCGACTCATCCCAAACCATCTCAATTGGGTTGAGGTTGGGGGATTGTGGAGGCCAGGTCATCTGATGCAGCACTCCATCACTCTCCTTCTTGGTAAAATAGCCCTTACACAGCCTGGAGATGTGTTGGGTCATTGTCCTGTTGAAAAACAAATGATAGTTCCACTAAGCCCAAACCAGATGGGATGGCGTTCGCTGCAGAATGCTGTGGTAGCCATGCTGGTTAACTGTGCCTTGAATTCTAAATAAATCAGACAGTGTCACCAGCAAAGCACCCCCACGCCATAACACCTCCTCCTCCATGCTTTACGGTGGGAACCACACATGCGGAGATCATCCGTTCACCTACTCTGCATCTCACCAAGACATGGCAGTTGGAACCAAAAATCTCAAATTTGGACTCATCAGACCAAAGGACATATTTCCACCGGTCTAATGTCCATTGTTCGTGTTTCTTGGCCTAAGCTAGTCTCTTCTTATTGGTGTCCTTTAGTAGTGGTTTCTTTGCAGTAATTCGACCATGAAGGCCTGATTCATGCAGTCTCCTCAGAACAGTTGATGTTGAGATGTCTGTTACTTGAACTCTGTGAAGCATTTATTTGGGCTGCAATCTGAGGCTGGTAATTCTAATGAACTTATCCTCTGCAGCAGAGGTAACTCTGGGTCTTCCTTTCCTGTGGCAGGCCTCATGAGAGCCAGTTTCATCATAGCGCTTGATGGTTTTTGCGACTGCACTTGAAGAAACTTTCAAAGTTCTTGAAATGTTCAGGATTTACTGACCTGCATGTCCTCAAGTAATGATGGACTGTCATTTCTCTTTGCTTATTTGAGCTGTTCTTGCCATAATATGGACTTGGTCTTTTACCAAATAGGGCTATCTTCTGTATACCACCCCTACCTTGTCACAACACAACTGATTGGCTCAGACGCATTAAGAAGGAAAGAAATTCCACAAATTAACTTTTAAGAAGGCACACCTGTTAATTGAAATGCATTCCAGGTGACTACCTCATGAAGCTGCTTGAGAGAATGCCAAGAGTGTGCAAAGCTGTCATCAAAGGGTGGCTACTTTGAAGAATCCCAAATATAAAATGTATTTTTTTGGTTTGTACATGATTCCATATTTGTTATTTCATAGTCTTGATGTCTTCACTATTATTCTACAATGTTTTGGCTGGGACTGTATGATGTCTCATTTACTTGGCCATAGAAAAGTTTGGTCATACGCACATCCTTAAAAACATTGGTGCTGGGCTAATAAAGAATACTAGTATAGAACAAGAAGGCCCGCACACTGTTAAAGCTCCCAATTCACCGCTTTATTGATCTTCGTCGGGTCATTTACTTGGCCAACCATATGTTTATGGTACCCAGTTCAAATAAGTTAGTTGGGCTAATAATATGTTGTGTATTATAGCTAACTTCATTTTCATTCGTTTACATTTCTAATGACATGTCAAATAACAAAACAGAATTGACTCTAAGAAGCTCTCAGTAAAAATAATTTTAGCATCAATTCTGACATTGAACATTCATATCCAGCTACAGCAGGAGGTCAGTATAGCCTGGTGGAATCAGCCTGATCTATGTTCCCCTTTCTATTTCACTGGGAAGTGAAAATAGATTGATGAATGCAGCGACCAGGCTGGTGAAATAGAATGATGAACGCAGCGATCAGGCTGGTTCCACCAGGCTAAGGTCAGTTAGCCCCGAAGCATCTTTTCTACACTGTCATTCAGATGTTGCTCACAAGCACCATGTCATTGTGGTATTTGTGCTATCGATCCCTGACTGGTCTCTTGTTTCTGTTCCCAGGTAAGGCTAAGTTCATCGGTGAACTCTTAGTGCCTGTTGCTCCCTTCGACCAGAAGTCCGGGCGAGAGACCTGGACTGTAGCCTTTGCACCTGATGGTTCCTACTTCGCTTGGTCTCAAGGGCATCGCATTGTGAGGCTCGTTCCCTGGTCAAAATGCCTGAAGAATTTGTAAGTACCTGTACTAGGCCTAACCACATTCTTAGTTAGTACAATTGTGATCAGAAAATAACAGGTTAGGCCCTACTTCAAAGGTCTGTTTACATTTTGAGGGAGGCCTATAGAAGCAACTATTCCTTTTGAGTTTTGAAATTCAACTATGGCGTTTCAAGTTTCTGAATAGCCTAACTCATTTGTCTGTGCAACGAATGCACTGACTGGTGTGGAGTCCTATTTGGCAGAGACGGCAGTAGAGCGCAGGGGAGCAAGAGAGACAGTGATTGTGGCGTGTGCTGGTGTGTTGCTGGTGCCCACTGGGTATTCATTTGGCAGCTGCCGTGCCTGTTTCATTGTCTGGTGTTTTAAGGACCTTAGAGCGCTCCTCCACGCTTTTACTAGAACAGGTTGTACTGCAAACTTACGAAGGCCACTGCAGGGTAAAACGGGGTTGGGGGAAAAACTCCCATTGTAGCCCAAATAATCGCATACATTTAGTTTTCATGTTCATGCCCCTCAACAGACTGATCCTTTATTGATATTTCTCTTCAGAATTAGATATTTTTAGTTACTGTTGCTTAATTCCTGTCCCCTAATGTTTCTTACAATATGCACTTTTGTTTTGCTTGAATATCTTGATGGTGTTCTGTACTAGATTCTTCTATTTTTAAAGCAACAGCTGATGGTTGATAACGTAGAGTGGACTTTCATTAATAAGGAGTTCTTGCTAAACCAAGTTAGAGGAAAGAAAACACTGCTTCTTGTTATTCAGGAGTGGAAATATAGTAAAGGGCCTTGTGTTATTTTGGCCTATAATTTTGGCACGTTAGAAAAGCTGCTGTAAGGTGCAGTCAAACTTTTACAACAACGGTCTTGTCTTTGGCAAGAGAAAGCAACACATAGCAGCTTAGGGTTTTATTACTGTATCCTTATGTTGTAAAATAATGTTAGGTTTACTGCCATGAAGTCAACTTCTACGTGTCAGGCTGTAAACTCTTCTGTAAAAACGACATATCAAATCAATACTGGTCTGGACAGGAGGCTGTTGTAAATGCAGTATTTGTGCTTAATTCTTGCTGAGCTTTGATTGGTTCTCTGACAGGTTGTGTTTGTGGGGGGTTGAGACTAGGGCTGTGGTGGTCACGAAATTTCTTCAGCCATTATTTATTTTAGACAGGTCTAAAGAAGCATGATATGAAGAAAATGTTGTCTATTTCAGAAGAAAATAATATCATACTCTGAGTTGTCCTTATGTTAGTTCCTGATGTGGCTATGCCAAATGGCTGTGGGCTACACTAGTTCATTTAGCAGACAAGATTTGCTTATAATTCTGTGGCATTATTTTATAGTATGAAGAATACAATTGAACAAGGCTGAATAAAATATAAATATTTTATCCAAACTATTTGAGGGAGTGTTGAGCGGTTAACAAATAAATAGGTACTCCTATTTGCTTAATTTAGAGTTATTAATCTAACTTTACTTGTTCTACAAACGTTGGGCTATATGTTTAGATTTTTAATACATTGTAAGGCTGCATGATGAGATTCTAATGATGATTTGAAAAAAGTTGCTTGAAAGGCATGAGCTCTGCTTTGTTTTTTTGCGCAGGCTGCACACACTCCAATAGTCTCTCATTCACAATTTGACAAGCACTTGATAATGCCTCGAATTTCGCGGCAGCATCCCCTTTATGGCCGTTATGCACCCTAAAAAAATGCATGCCTTTTGCGCCCCGGAGTGCTGCGTTGTTCCCTTCTGTCTGAGTGTGCTGCGCAATCGGAAGCCCTCTCACTCACATGGCTCTCCGTCACGTGATTGGGTCTTTCTCACAGGCTACAAATTAAGACCGACACATCGGGAACGCAACTGCGCGCGTCCTTAACCAATAGGCCCTTTTCACGTGACGTCAGACAACTTCCGTTCTGCCGCGATGCAGGTTATGTTTACATCCGGTGTCGCTTAGGAACGCTTAGCTAGTAGCACATCATTATGGAGTTCACCCAGTCCCTTTCACATCTGCCACCAATACGACTTAACGACGTAGAACGACTTGCTGACAAGTGGTCCCTTACTTCAAGATCGAAGCTTGATAAAGGCTACAAGTTCTTCGTTGAAGGTTACCTGTTTGATTATGAAGGTACGTGTTTATCTTTATTTAGCTTAAATTAGCCCTATGCTAGCGAAGGTTATGAGCTGACGAGTTTCTGTTTTGCAGCCTCTTTTTAATATTACTGCTGTTTGTATCGACTGTAAGATAAGAGTCAGTAATGTATTAATGGCTAATGCTGCGCCCTTTCTCCCAATCACTGTATTGAAACAGTCTCAAGTGTAGTTAACGGTGAGGTGACAGTGAGAGGGCGATGTTACAGGTCCATGAAGAAAAATGAGGAGGCTCATCGGCTTCAGGTTTCTCAGATAAACAGTTCTCTAACATTATGATAAGATAGGTTAAGATAGATAAGTTTTCTTTTTGTTGTGTTTTGCTGCGGTTGCAGATTTAATAAGAATGATTCCACAAAGTTCCACTGTGGATCAGTTTGTTTCTCAGTCTGAGCTCTGATTTTGTATCATTAAACTTAATACACAACGAAATTCTTACAAACCGATGTGGGTTGTTGACGGCAATAAAGACTGGGAAAGATTCTGTGATAACTCAAAATGTTCAAATTTTCGATAAGTGTTGGCACTACTTGTCAAAGGTTTCAGAACAGCCAATTTTTCTTAATTAAAAAAAGAAATTGGGTTTTGAAAATTGTGTACAGTAGTTTATAATGAAACGCAGAAAAAATGTTTTGTAAGTACAGCACTAATTGTTATGTCTCTATGAACAGGTTACACTAGACTCTGCAGAGGTTCCTGTGGTACTCAATCACATGTCATGTTCCTGCTCTGCTGGGAAAGCACTATGTAATCACATAGTAGCACTTCTTTTTCAAAGTGCTCACTATGTTACCATGGGCTTTAAGACAGTGCCATTGCCTCTGTCATGCACCAGCGCACTGCAGACCTGGCACCGGCCTAGGACACAGGTCAGACATTATTTGTTACACTGATGCAGAACTTTGCAGTTTGTATTGACTTTTGACAATGTATTGTTCATCATTATTATATCACAGGGAATTGTACCAGAGGCCACCAATGATATGGCGGTGTGTAAACCAGCGGCTAAGAAAAAAACAAGTGTCAGAGCTGGTGTGAAGTGCACACTGTACCGAGCCACTTTTTTTGCCAAACAGATACATGGTTACTCTTATTTGTAATACTAACCAGGAGAAGGACGGCAGGCATAGTCGTGATCGTTTGTCACTGCAGGCAAAGCACCCTCTGTGCTGTCAGGCATCTCATGATCAGAATCATCCAGGACAGCAACACCAAGACGCTTTCTTGCTCGCTGGTAAACTGACTCCCGAGCTTGTGAGCCGCCTCCTATATGTGTGAAATTAACCATATGCTTGTCATGATACATTTTGGTAATCACTTTTCAGTCCCTAAAATGACAAAATGTAGCAGCTATATTGCATCAGGATTAAATTATTAAACATTTTGTACAAGTAATATATTATTGGATTACAGTAGTATTACGTTTAACGCTGTCTACCTATCCTTACCCCAATCATTCCAGTGGAATCTAGACGGCACTGATCCCTGTTTAATACGGATCCGTCCACTGGCCGATGTGTATCTATCCTCAGGGGGAAAGTGCTGACTGCAAACAAAGGTGCTCCCACGAAGAATCTTAAAACTTGGTCCCTCATCTCTCCTGATCGCCCTCACCCAACGGGCACGTATTTCTCCATCAACAGGGAAATCGTGAAAACTCAGATACGGGAATTTCTGTTTGTTGTTTGAACAAAATGGTACACTGCAATAGCATCTTCTCGAAGATTGTGCCATGCTTCGGTGTTGGATGGGATACTGTTGCGATACAGACACCGGGAGAAAAGAAACAGCTAAATTAACATTCAGCTTTGACCAGGAATCAATATTTATCTAGCTATCATGCACAACAGTATTTGAATAGGTGAGTTACTATACATTCATGAATAAACTAACTGCCTAACAAAGGGTTAGATAGCTAGCTAAGTAAACTTGTTACATTACAGCCAGGCAGCAATGTAACGCTACCTTTTAACGTTATCGGTATCTGGTACTAAGTTGTTGTTAGCTAACGTTAGCCCACTTTTAAGTAACTAAGGCAGTGAACAATTATGAATTAACAATAACGTTAGCAAGTTACAAACCATTGCATATACGTAAACATTATTACTCTTAACTTTACTAATTTAACTTAAACGTACCTTTTGGAATTTCTTCAAGTAGCTAGCTTGCTAGTTAGTGGTCAACAGTTGTATTTTCGTTGAGAAGTCTCAGGTTACGGGCGAACGGAAGTGAAGTTAACCTGCTACGCGGAAAGGCGGAAGTTAGATGACGTCATCGTGAAAAGGGCCTATTCCGAGGTGCATATTGAAGAACTTGTCCACATTTACTTTTCGTCAGCCAACAAGATGAGTAGGCCTAATGAACAGCAAAAGCACTAGCCTATGTGAATCTACTATCCCCCGTAGTACAAAAGTAAACCTATTCTATTCTGTACGAGAAATAAATATTCAGAACGTAGTCTGGGACAGTTGTGGGATGCGATAGATCCCAAATTAATACAACTAGCATCAAAAAAACTTATTTATGCAACCGATCTGAACGTTTAGCTTAAAATGTTGAAACTATTAGGCTATTTCTTCACATTATAAGCGCTTCAATTACGTACATGGTAGTATGCTATATGCGCGAATGTTCCATTAGTGGAAAACACCATTATCAAAAGTGTCCGCAAATTGTTGTTTACAGTCCTAGTTGAGTTCTTGGTCTCGTTCTAGAATATTCTAGTAGTTGTAGTTCATTACTTGTGCTATCCTTCCCTGTGAGGAGGAAACAGAGCGCAGTGTGCTGTGGAGCAAGCAGCCAATGACACGTGGCGTGTATTATCAGTTGCCTTTCTACAGAGCTGGCTATTTTTCCACACAATAAAGCCTTGTGACGCCTCCAGAACCTTTTCAACTTGTCTGAGCAAAAATAGCTTTTTGTATAGTAGACATGTTGTGGTACACTGTTTTGTCTTGCCTATTGGATGTTGTTGTGGTTAACTAGGCCAGAATGGTTGAGACAAGTCCTGTCCAGTGGAGAGATATTGCTAGAAATTGAAAACCGGTCAAGGTGTGGAGATGTGCTAGCTGCAAAATATAAGGCAAACAACTTCTATATTTTAAAGGTTAAATAGACAGATATAGACAGAGATATTCATATGGGAAGCCGGACGTGCTCCTCTAAGATGGCCTTTCTCAAAAGTTTTTGTGCCAGGGACCAGCAAGGCATGGCCTTCTTCCTCTGGAGACCGCTAAAAAAATAGAAAATTCATAATCGCCTTTTCTTTATAAAAACATTTTATTTATTTTTACTTTACACTAAATTAATGAATTATGTATTTACTTGGCTTCCTTCATGGTTTGTTTGTCTGTTTGTGTTGTACTCATGGGCAGTGTCTCTCTGTCTGGGCTGCCTTCAGGGGCTGCCTTCAGGCAGGGGCTGTCTGTCTATAAATGACAAATATGATTTGGTCATTATACACAATCACATTACCTGTGCTGTCAATAAAAACAATGTAGCAACTGTATCTTTATAAACAAATAACAATCTTTAATTCTATCAGTATATACAATGTAAAAAAATAAATAGATTAGTACAAGATGTGCCTGTCTCTTGGACACCAACATGTCAAACATCTTGCGGTTTCTCAAGGTTCTTTTAACAGCCAGTCTGCTGCAATATTTAGATTTGGTTGGAGCTAGAGAGGACAAGACGAATGAAGTCTTCACTGCCATCTCGCTGAGTTGGGGGTCTTCACTGCCATCTCGCTGAGTTGGGGGTCTTCACTGCCATCTCGCTGAGTTGGGGGTCTTCACTGCCATCTCGCTGAGTTGGGGGTCTTCCCTGCCATCTCGCTGAGTTGGGGGTCTTCCCTGCCATCTCGCTGAGTTGGGGGTCTTCCCTGCCATCTCGCTGAGTTGGGGGTCTTCACTGCCATCTCGCTGAGTTGGGGGTCTTCACTGCCATCTCGCTGAGTTGGGGGTCTTCACTGCCATCTCGCTGAGTTGGGGGTCTTCACTGCCATCTCGCTGAGTTGTGGGGATTCTCCGCTGCTGAATAACCAGAATGTGGAAAGGCACATCTCATTAAAACGAGTGTCCCGCATCCCTTTCATTCACGCCAAACTTGAGCAGCAGTCCTGTTGGTACAGAACTTGATATAACGGTCCCGTCGTAATCCATATCCCGTTATGTAGGCCTACTCGTTCAGAACACAGAATATTTCACCTGCAGCTGTATTCTGAGGCAGCTCTTTTTAAAACAAATAAATTATTCAAATATGTAGCACACACACACAAGAAGCGGGCATTTGAAATGTCACTCATCTAATTGGATTGCATTAAAGTCATGTGATCATTGCACTACATGTAACACTCCTTTCTCCCTCTCCTTTCTCTCCGTCACCCTCATTTCCCTGTCCTCTCTTTCTGTTCCTTTTCTTTCTCTGCCCTCTCTCCATCTCGCTCCGCATCTTTCCACATTACCCCTCTCCTTCCTCTCTTTCTATCCCACTCTCCAGCGGTGGAGAAGGCTCCAACGAAGCGGGCCCTCTGCGTTTGTCACTGCAGAACAGCAAGGGGGGAACAGTGGTGCCAGTGGGCGAGCCCAAGGAGCACACCATCGATTGCGGTGACATCGTGTGGGGCCTGGCCTTCGGCTCGTCTGTGCCAGAGAAGCAGAGTCGCTGCGTCAACATAGAGTGGCACCGTTTCAAGTTCGGTCAGGACCAGCTGCTGCTTGCCACCGGCCTCAACAATGGACGCATCAAGATCTGGGACGTCTATACTGGTGAGAACCAGATTAAACATGAACATCACGACCAGCTGGACTCCTTTGTTTTCACAGTGTGTTATTCCTAGTTCCATGTACCAATACAAGTTATTGAATCAGTAGGGAGGAAGTTGAAGCCTCAGGGAGGTTTCTAGGATCAACTTTCTCCACACAAATCCTGGGCTGTGTTTTCATTCCAGAAAATCCACCTCACCCTTCTACCTTTGCTCACTCTCACATATCTTATAGTTGAAAGCAGCACGGTAGAAATTGAGTGGGGCTGTTTACACCTATGTGTAGGGGAGAGGACATGATATCTCTTGCCTAGAGCTCAAATGGTGGTAGCTCGCCAGTCGTGTTCTAAATGGAATGGAGGGTTTTATAACATCACTGGCTGTGCTGTGTTTCCCCTAGGATTTTTTTCAGCAGCGGTGGCAATGTTAGCGTTTGGGGGGGGGGGTCAGGCACATATCACATTTACGTTGTAACTTGGCACTCCAGGGTTTTTTCTGGATCAAAATTGGGCTTAGTATTTAGAGGCCCTCCTCTTGGCCGCAGATTTTGTTGTTCTTGCTGTTTTTAAAGGGAATTTCCTGCAATTATACACAATGTGTCACATGGTGCAGAGAGAGTAAATTGCAGTTTTAAAGCTTCTTTCCTGCAACTCTACACATTTTGCCATGGTTTATGCCGTGTTCTTATGCTATATGAGTGACTCAAACATTATAACAAAGTCAATGGGGGCCCCATGCCATGAGATATATTTTTATTTGGATGATTCTTAGTTCTCAAAGATGATCTTGTTCTACATACATTTTGTAGTGGCAGCAACGATTTAAATGAATATAGGGGAAACACTGGCTCTGGATCATATGCCTGATTGCTGTGACATCAGCTGTTGCCCAGATGCAGGATTTTTTGGTAATCTTTTTAGCAGCCAGTCATTAAAGAGAGATTTATCCCAGTAGGGTTACATACGCCTTCCTGATGCACACAGGGTTATATAATTCGTTTTTCTAGTAGAAGAGCCAAGAGAATGCTCATTGTTCTGTTCCAGAAGTGAAACAAGGTCGCCATCCCATTCTGCCCATCTCATCTACCCACCCACCTCTAGCTGGCATCCTGTTTTATGGTCTGTGTGTTGAAGCCACAGTCAGTCGGTTATATAACGTGTTGAAGTTGATTTTAGCCCTGCTGGCTGTCTGCTTGCGCCTCCTCTCCTGCGCCCAGGTTTTTTACTGACACTCCTGATTGATGATGTTTGCCCACGGCCCCTCTCTCCCTGCTGCCAACACAGTGCTGACGTTACAACCCCGCCAGGACCCCCGCTCTCCTAGACTCATTGGTTCTCTCTCCCGCTCTCTTTCTCTAACACACCTCCATACAGGGCCCTTTAAACCTGCCCTTGAAAATGTATCTACCAGGAACACTGTATACGTAAATGCCTACGTATGTACAAAGGACAAATAGAATGCATGCATACATACAGTGCATTCGGAAAGTATTCAGACCACTTAACTTTTTCCACATTTTGTTTACGTTACAGCCTTATTCTAAAATGAATTAAATAGTTTTTTTCCCCCTCATCAATCTAAACAATACCCATAATGACAAAGCAAAAACAGGTTTGTACATTTACGTAAGTATTCAGACCTTTTACTCAGTGCTTTGTTGAAGCACCTTTGGCAGCGATTACAGGCTTGAATCTTCTTGGGAATGACTCTACAAGCTTGGCACACCTGTATTTGGGGAGTTTCTCCCATTCTTCTCTGCAGATCCTCTCAAGCTCTGTCAGGTTGGATGGGGTGTTGCTGCGCAGCGATTTTCAGGTCTCTCCAGAGATGTTCAAGTCCGGGCTCTGGCTGGGACACTCAAGGACATTCAGAGACTTGTCCCGAAGCCACTCCTGCGTTGTCTTTGCTATGTGCTTAGGGTCGTCGTCCGAAGGTGAACCTTCACCCAAGTCTGAGGTCCTGAGCGCTCTGGAGCAGGCATTAATGATCTCTCTGTACTTTGCTCCGTTCATCTTTCCCTCAATCCTGACTAGTCTCCCAGTCCCTGCCACTGAAAAACATCCCCACAGCATGATGCTGCCACCACGATGCTTCACCGTAGAGATGGTGCCAGGTTTCCTCCAGATGTGACACTTGGCATTCAGGACAAATAGTTCAATCTTGGTTTCATTTACATTTTAGTCATTTAGCAGACGCTCTTATCCAGAGCGACTTACAGTTAGTGAGTGCATACATTTTCATACTGGCCCCCCGTGGGAAACGAACCCACAACCCTGGCGTTGCAAACGCCATGCTCTACCAACTGAGCTACAGGGGACTACAGGCTGTCATGTGCCTTTTACTCAGGAGTGGCTTCCGTCTGGCCACTCTACCATAAAGGCCTGATTGGTGGAGTTCTGCAGAGATGGTTGTCCTTCTGGATGGTTCTCCCATCTCCACAGAGGAACTCTGAAGCTCTGTCAGTGACCATCAGGTTCTTGGTCACCTCCCTGACCAAGGCCCTTCTCCCCCGATTGCTCAGTTTGGCCAGGCGGCCAGTTCTAGGAAGAGTCTTGGTGGTTCCAAACTTCTTCCATTTTAAAATGATGGAGGCCACTGTGTTCTTGGGGACCTTCAATGCTGCAGACATTTTTTGGTACCCTTCCCCAGATCTGTGCCTCGACCCAATCCTGTCTCGGAGTGCTACGGACAATTCCTTCAACCCTCATGGCTTGGTTTTTGCTCTGACATGCACTGTCAACTGTGGGACCTTTTATATAGACAGGTGTGTGTGCCTTTCCAAATCATGTCCAATCAATTGAATTGACCACAGGTGGACTCCAATCAAGTTGTAGAAACATCTCAAGGATGATCAATGGAATCAGGATGCACCTGAGCTCAAATCCAAGTCTCATAGAAAAGGGTCCGAATACTTATGTAAATAAGGTATTTCTGTTTTTTATTTTTTATAAATTAGCAAACATTTCTAAAAACCTGTTTTTGCTTTGTGAAACTTAATTCCTCAAAGTCAAATGGTTTATAGAGAATTTCACCAAAACCAATAGTTAAGCTATAAAAAAAAACGGATTACTGTGGCTTTGATTTCTTTATTTCATGGCTGAATATGGCCGGTGGCATGACTTTTGGTAGGATTTGGCTTCAGGCACAATTAGGGTGTTATTGTGTTAACTATTATAATAGATTATTATACCCCAATTTGGATTTGGCCGACTGTTGGCAGACTATTTGAGAATGGCTATTGTAATTGAGTCCCATCCTTCCCTCAATGGAACCAGTGTTTAGACTGAGTATCAGGAAGCAACAAATTGCAGGGATTAAGTCTGGATTACTCTGATTGCACTTATTGTATGTCAGTCTACCCAGAGGGTATTCTGTGTCACTCTGACTGTCAACACCAGGCCCAGCCTTTGAAATAGAGCTGTCCAGGGCTTCAACTCATCAGATAAACAACAAAGAGCACAGTCAGTGGGACTAGTTGTTCAAATCAAATCAAATTTTATTGGTCACATGCGCCGAATACAACAGGTGCAGACATTACAGTGAAATGCTTACTTACAGCCCTTAACCAACAGTGCATTTATTTTTAACAAAAAAAGTAAAAATAAAACAACAACAAAAAAAAGTGTTGAGAAAAAAAAGAGCAGAAGTAAAATAAAGTGACAGTAGGGAGGCTATATATACAGGGGGGTACCGTTGCAGAGTCAATGTGCGGGGGCACCGGCTAGTTGAGGTAGTTGAGGTAATATGTACATGTGGGTAGAGTTAAAGTGACTATGCATAAATAATTAACAGAGTAGCAGCAGCGTAAAAAGGATGGGGTGGGGGGGCAGTGCAAATAGTCCGGGTAGCCATGATTAGCTGTTCAGGAGTCTTATGGCTTGGGGGTAGAAGCTGTTGAGAAGTCTTTTGGACCTAGACTTGGCACTCCGGTACCACTTGCCGTGCGGTAGCAGAGAGAACAGTCTATGACTAGGGTGGCTGGAGTCTTTGACAATTTTGAGGGCCTTCCTCTGACACCGCCTGGTATAGAGGTCCTGGATGGCAGGAAGCTTTGCCCCAGTGATGTACTGGGCCGTACGCACTACCCTCTGTAGTGCCTTGCGGTCGGAGGCCAAGCAGTTGCCATACCAGGCGGTGATGTAACCAGTCAGGATGCTCTCGATGGTGCAGCTGTAGAATTTTTTGAGGATCTGAGGACCCATGCCAAATCTTTTCAGTCTCCTGAGGGGGAATAGGCTTTGTCGTGCCCTCTTCACGACTGTCTTGGTGTGTTTGGACCATGATAGTTCGTTGGTGATGTGGACACCAAGGAACTTGAAGCTCTCAACCTGTTCCACTACAGCCCCGTCGATGAGAATGGGGGCGTGCTCAGTCCTCTTTTTTTTCCTGTAGTCCACAATCATCTCCTTTGTCTTGGTCACGTTGAGGGAGAGGTTGTTGTCCTGGCACCACACGGCCAGATCTCTGACCTCCTCCCTATAGGCTGTCTCATCGTTGTCGGTGATCAGGCCTACCACTGTTGTGTCGTCGGCAAACTTAATGATGGTGTTGGAGTCGTGCCTGGCCATGCAGTCATGGGTGAACAGAGAGTACAGGAGGGGACTGAGCACGCACCCCTGAGGGGCCCCCGTGTTGAGGATCAGTGTGGCAGATGTGTTGTTACCTACCCTTACCACCTGGGGGCGGCCCGTCAGGAAGTCCAGGATCCAGTTGCAGAGGGAGGTGTTTAGTTCCAGGATCCTTAGCTTAGTGATGAGCTTAGAGGGCACTATGGTGTTGAATGCTGAGCTGTAGTCAATGAATAGCATTCTCACGTAGGTGTTCCTCTTGTCCAGGTGGGAAAGGGCAGTGTGGAGTGCAATAGAGATTGCATCATCTGTGGATCTGTTGGGGCGGTATGCAAATTGGAGTGGGTCTAGGGTTTCTGGGATAATGCTGTTGATGTGAGCCATGACCAGCCTTTCAAAGCACTTCATGGCTACAGACGTCATTCTGTTAGATGGAGAATTCATTTTATTTAACCTTTATTTAACCGGGTAAGCTAGTTGAACAAGTTCTCATTTACAACTGCGACCTGGCCAAGATAAAGCAAAGCAGGGCGGTAAAAACAACAACCACACAGTTACATATGGGGTAAACCAAACGTACAGTCAATAACACAATAGAAAATATATATACAGTGTGTGCAAATGTAGTAAGTTATGGAGGTAAGGCAATAAATAGGCCATAGTGCAAAATAATTACAATTATAATTTAGTATTAACACTGGCGTGATTGATGTGCAAATAGAGATACTGGGGTGCAAATGAGCAAAATAAATAACAATATGGGGATGAGGTAGTTGGGTGGGCTAATTACAGTGACAACCCTCTTTCTTTTCCCCTCTTAAATTCTTCTGTTTTTTTCTCTGCTCCATCTCACTCTCAACTCTTTTTCTGTGCCTCTGTACAAACTGACAGCGCTCTCGTTACTTTTCGCATGGGTGTGGAACCCACACTATTCTACACCCTTTACCACAGAGGGAATTTAAAAAAATGCAGCTGTGTGGCATTTTAATCCACAAGTCATGACAAATTCCCCAAGGCTGTGTAAACAGAGGTGGTGGAGTTGACCTACAGTAACTTGTCTGCTGTGTACCTCATTAGTTTTATTATTAACTCTGGGGTTGTTTGCCTTTACAGGAAAGCTGTTGCTGAATCTCATGGACCATACAGATATAGTGCGAGACCTGACTTTCGCCCCTGACGGCAGCCTCATGCTGGTCTCGGCATCCAGAGACAAAACCCTGAGGGTCTGGGACCTGAAAGATGACGGTAAGAACACTGAGCCCTGAGGAACACCTTTTGATTTAGCTTGACTCCATGTTATTATCTTGGAACTGAAACCGTTTTTCACAGTTTCACATAGTTAATGTTTTTGTTAGAGATTTGTTCAGCTGTGCCAGCAAGCCACACTGATCTGTTGAGGTCAAGATGATTATGATCCATGCAGATGTAATTTTTGTGTGTTGGGCTAATACACATCCACACACATGAAGCTGAAGAAGAAGGTAGCATGTGATAAGTTCCAGTGGAATGTGGAATTTGCTACTGCTGCGGTTCCACGTTGAAAGGCCCATCACCCCCTGCATGTATTCTAAGCTCACATGAGCAGAGAATAATGTTAAAATTGGGCCCAGGTCCAACGAGGTCTCCTGAATAAAAGCCTGGGGGGGGGGGGGGGGGGGGGGGGTATTGCCTAGGGCACTGACCTAGTTTCTCCTCTTTTGACCAAAACAGTCCTGTATCCAGTGATTGATCAAGGTCAGATCACCACTAACACATCTGTTTTATCTGTGATTCAGTGTTTTCAAATGACTTAAGCAACATACACAAGCAGTAGGATTTTGTATAGTTTTTGTAACTTTAAACATGAAACACCACAAAGCTAGTCTCCAGAGCCTAATTGGAAAAACCTCAATTTTACCATCTAAGCCCATTAATTAAAATAGCCCAATTATCCCAATTGAAATCCTGCAGAAAATCCTGTAAAGCTTGGAAACATAATCAGCAGACATTCGTTATACTGTTACTTCATCACAATAATAATTTTTCTGTCACATGTACATGTCATAACAAGCTGTGATGCTGTGTTGTAGGTAACATGGTGAAAGTGTTGCGGGGTCATCAGCACTGGGTCTATTGCAGCGCATTCTCACCAGACTCCTCAGTCCTCTGCTCTGTCGGAGCCGGTAAAGCGGTACGTACACCTGTTCCCCCTTCGCTCCCTTTTGAGATGAACTGCTACTCTGTGTGCTATTGCTTGTGCCTAGTTATGCTCAATGACCTACCAATGAAACACTCCCACCTTCCCCCATCCCCTCAACTGAATCTTGACCGTTATGCTTGGTGTCATGACTAGTTCAACAACCCTGCCTGTAGTTCGGTTTGGCATTGTTTGAAATACAACTTTGGTATTAAACAAATTATCACACACTTTTGTAATAGTTCTAGTATTTATCCTCTATCTACAATCCAACTCACAATCTAAACTGTTCATTTGATGCTTTAGTATGTGGGATGCAGATTGCTATGCTTTATTTGATGCCCTTTGAACCTCAATGCAGACCCAAATCATTCAAAGAAATGTTCTAAAGATTTTTGGATTCCCCTTTTGATACACTCTGCCTGGCATTTAGTAAATGGTATGCAAGGAGAAAATTAGATGGTTAGCTAAGTGGCGTAGTCCCCAAGATGGCTGCCCAGCCAGTGAGGGATCGGACCCCAATGACTTGAGTCAAAGATACACACTTTGCAAGAACCTTATAAACATGCTAGTAGTTAGTTACTGTAGCCAGTTCCATCCTCCTTGTGCAGGGTGCAGCTAGATTGTTGTTAGGCTGTGTGTGTCCATAAGTGTCTTGCTTTCCCTGTCACAGGTGGCAGGTGTGTGAGTGTTTTTGAAGGGAGGGAGCGCCGCGCTGACATAAAGCAGCCGGTGCAGACCGCTGGCTGGTGGCACCAGTGCCACTACTACTGCCGGGCTGGGACGCACTGTGCCCCTGCCCAGGGGGCAGGGCAGCCTTGCACCTACCTGACCGCAAGGTCTCCCGTACGTAGGTGCTGCTGTCTCCATGTTTGTCTACCTCCGCTGTCGTAGTTCCTTTTATATCCGTTATAAAACAGTAATTTTAAATGGCAGGAAAGTAAACCCTTCCCAACCACACGGTCCCTTACCCCTCTCCCTTACCCCCCCCCCCCCCCCCCCCCCCCCCCCCAACTGTACTTAATTAGAAACCCTGCCTATTATAGCACACCTTAACTGACATTTTGTTAGGTTTGTAGTTTTTTTGTCAGTTCAATGTCAGTCTCGCCCACCCACAGTCTCTAACTTGTATGAATGACATTGATTATTTGTCTCTCCATAATGAGGCTGTTAGCATCAGTTACTGTAGTTTGATAGCCGCAGTTCTCCCTCATCCTCCTGACTTCTCTCCCGGGTCCCAAGTTTAAGGGCCAGTCAGCACGCCCATCTCTGTTGTGGCCACCCCGCTCAGCCCCTTTTGTAATGGAGTTAGTGTGCAGGGGCCAGGTCATTGTTGGCGTAAATGAGAATTGAAAGGACTCTTTGTGGCTCCGCAGACTGTCTTCCTCCCCATAAATGTCCGCCTTTGTCCCAAATTAACATGGACAATGTTGGAGTTGAAAAAACATGATGTAAGTTAGTGAATTCCCTATTTCCTCATTCAACTCCCCCAAGGAAATATCCCACTTTGACAGAAAACAAACACAACAGTTAATTATTTTCTGTGACCATAGTGGGAGAGGAAGAACAGTCTCTCATACATTATGACTGAAAACCAGAACACATACTCGTCATAGTACGGAAAACAAAACTGCCAAAACATTCAAACTGAACTCTGAATTGCATGAACAGAAATGTTATAGAGAACTGAGCCTCATTTAAAAACGCCACAGAAAACAAAGGAGGTAACTGTCTGCCATTTTGGAGCAGATTTTCCTCATACATTCACTGGCAGTTGCCTGTCTTATAAACTGTAGAGCTGTGTAGCTCGCCTAAAATGCAGGCAGTAACCTCACCTTGGGTTCCTTTCATTTCACACTAACGCTAGAGGAGGGAGTAGAGGAGGGAGTAGGAGAACATTATGAACTGAAGTAGCCCCCAGAAACCATTGACATTGATTTTGGAATGGCATTTATCTACTTTAGCTGAAATGTTGCACTTGCTCAAGTGCAATGTTTGCAGAACTCCTTGTTACGTTTGGAATAGGCCTATACAATCTTGTTTTGGTTCTAAAAGTTACAACGAAATTCCACATCACTGTTAAAGCCTCTCTAGAATTTGAGTTTAATTTAGATTTGCTCTGTTCTGCTCAATTTAAACTTTTAACAAACGACAAGGGATGTTTCTCTTGAGCATGCATTACATTGCACTGGAGCAAAGGAACGTTCAAGCCCATATGGCTGACTGTTGAAAACCGTGTGCAAATATGTGTGTCCAAAGGCGTCAACCTTTTGGCCATCAAATGTTTTTTTCTCTTGCAGTATGTCTCTTCGTAGGCTTCCGCCGGAGGTGCGAGCCTATTGTAATCACAGTGAACTAGAACTCTGAAAGGGGAAACCAGTGGAGTAACATTATGTTACCTTAAGTTACTACTTGTTTTATTTTCTCCTTTTTCTGTAGACTTAAAAATGTTAGTATTGAGAAAACATTGTAATTAGATATTGATATGTTTTAATGCTAGCCTACGTCATAGAAATGACAATTTTATGGAGCACAATTTTAGCAGCTATGTTAAAAAACCAGATATGCAGTGACATGCATTTTGTTACATAACATAGCATTGCTGCTTGAGTAGCATGTGCTTTATTTTGTGCATTGTTTGGTCTGTAGTTCAACACATAAGCCATAAAATGACACTGAGCATACAATGATTTTTCTGTTCATTTCTTGCTTTATTTTTGTTGCTTAATTTAACTACTTGTAATTTACATTCCATCTGTTTTTGCATTTTATGTTAGTCGTTTTTAAGTGAAGTGTTTTAAGTAGTTTAAAATGCTTGTCCCTGCATAGCGTTATTCTGTGGGCTATAACATGGACCTCTTCCTTCTCTAGGTGTTCCTTTGGGATATGGATAAATATTCCCTGATCCGGAAGCTAGAGGGTCACCATAATGACGTGGTGTCCTGTGAGTTCTCTCCCGATGGAGCCTTGCTCGTCACAGCCTCCTACGACACCCGCGTCATCATCTGGGACCCGCACATGGGCACTGTGCTAATGGAGCTAGCGTAAGTCAGACGCACACACACACACACACCAGGAACTAGTGCAAAGCAATGACACAATGATGTTGTTAAGACCTTGTTCAAGGTTTCTTATCTCTGTGTTTTTCGTTCCTTCAGGCACCTCTTCCCTCCCCCCTCGCCCATCTTTGCAGGAGGGGCCAACGATCGCTGGGTACGTTCCGTAGCGTTCTGTCACGATGGCCGTCACATCGCCAGCATCACTGACGACAGGTAAGGAACAAAGCTTGAGACCTGTGTCTGGTGCATCAGAAGGGCCCAATAAGGAAAAGCTCAGCTTTATAAATGTTTGAGGTTCTTCTAGCTAATGCCCACTTGTTCCTCTCGCTAAGGTGTTCTCTTCTACCTCAGGTGTAGTGCATGTGCTGGTGTAGATTTGTAATATTTGTGTTGGCCATAGCTGCTTCACCACACCCATTTGCGCTGTCACCCACACGGTAAACTGCGTGCCCTCACTCTCTGCTGATGAAAAAGTGTTAGTGTTTGCTGCAGTAGCAGAGCGCTGTGAAGCAGAGAGAGAGAGAGAGAGGGAGTCACGAGTCTTAATGGGGTCTGAGTGAGAGCAGAGCTGTTGCAGCCAGGCAGGGCCCCCTTTGGGAATTGGTCACATGACCCTCACATGACAGCCATTAATCAACCGCCGACTTGCTTCCTTCTCTCCTTAGCCCCACCCTTCCCTTCGTTGGTTAGGCTGCTAAGTGTTTACCAGTGAGAAGGCAGAGAGGAGGAACGAGCTTCACAAAATGGCGGACACAACAACAACAAAAAATCAGCCACATCTTTCAAGATTAGATTTTCAGATAGGATGAGGATAAAACATTTGATTTTGTACAGTTACATTTGATTGAATAGGGAAAATAAATATTATTTTTGGGGAAATGTGTAAATTCTTCTAAAGTATGCTTCTTTGATTTAGAATTGACCGAACGTTTTTCACTTAGAAAATACAAGACCACTGTTGAAGCGGAACAATATGAAGGAATCCTACAGTTCAGTGTTCATGTGGTTGTCATGTGTTTATGCTCTATTTCAGCCAGCCTGTTTTGGCCCTAGTGCAGTTCCCATGTGATCTGTGTCAGCTGTGTCTGACCAGCGCCCCTCTTGCGGTCTCCCTCTCCCTCTTTATTTTCTCCTTCTCTCACTCCTACACACCCACTAACTCATTCTGTCCCTCCCTCTCTCCCCAGAATGGTGCGTTTCTGGACCATTGATGAGAAGTCTCCCCAGGCCATCGCTCCCCTCTCTAATGGCCTCTGCTGTGCCTTCTCTACTGACGGGAGTGTCCTCGCAGCTGGGTGAGGCGCACACACACACACACTCCTACACACCTACCTACACCTCCCTGCCATATACACATCTACACCTCTCCACACACAACCATACCCCAGTCCATTTAGATACTCGAGGGGTGGGGGATTAATCCTGTTTGAGTCTCACACACCCTAGTCTATAGGCATGTGGCAGGTGATCAATCAAGACTTTATGTACTGCCAAAAACTGGTTTTCCAGCTTTTTATTTGCATGCTATAGGAAGCGCGGTGGCCCTGTATGTTGATGGTTACACCCAGGCTCTGGGTTATCTTACAACGATGCTTCAACCTGTTCTGTTAGACAGACCATGGCTACCTAGTACCTACCTTTCAGTGCTATTGTGAGGGATAGATCGACATGGAAATAACTCTCTCTCGCCCCCTTTCTCTCTCGCTCAGGTCTCGAGATGGCAGCGTGCATTTCTGGGCGTGCCCAAAGAGCATTGCCAGCCTGCAGCACCTGTGTCGCATGGCACTACGACGGGTCATGCCCACCCAGCAGGTGCAGACGCTGCACATCCCGCCACGCATACGCTCCTACCTGTCTTACCAAGATCTCTAGCCCTCCATCTTCACCCTCACCACCCAACACATCGCTCGCTGGAAATCAATGAATATTTTTATTTTTAGTCATTTAGCAGACACTCTTATCCAGAGCGACTTACAGTTAGTGAGTGCATACATTTTCAATATTACCTTTCTAATAAAAAAAAAAACACAGGAAAAATAAGATTTAAAAAAAGAACAGAAGATAAAAAAAGTTGATTTACAGGCGAAGACCCCCATGCTATTCTGTGGCAAGGCAACTTCTTTCTCTATGCGTTTATTTTTTTAGGTTTACTTACATGTGAGTGCACTCCACGGTCCCCCTCAGGGAGCGTTGTTGAATGGTTAAGTTATTTCAGTGGCCTGTCTCTCTGCATAAGATGGCCTTACCAAATCAGTCACCTCTGGATAGTTCTACATTCTTCCTGCAATAGAGACTTGTTCGCTGTAGATAATTGGCCTAGTGGTGGTGGTGAAATGGTGATGTGCTATCTATCTTGGAAGTGGTTGTTTCGCCACACTACGGAGAAACCATGCAACTCCAGACTTTACTGTAAGGACTAAGCTTGCAAAATTCCAGGAACTTTGAATAAATTCCCAGTTTTTCCGGAAATCCAGGTTGGACGATTCCCGGAATCAGGAGGGAATAAGTAGGAAATCCAGAATCCTCCTACCAGGATTTTTGTGAAACCAGGAAATGTTTTGAAAGTTCCTGGAATTTTGCAACCCTACTAAGGACTGAGTGAGAGGATGAAGGAGGGTTCGTCCCAACGCTGTGCTTTATATTCAGTGGTTCAGAGAGGGACATGAAGGGTTGAGAGGTGTGTATGGCCACGTGTATATGTATGTACAGTGTGTGTACTGTATGTACAGGTAGATCTGTGTGCGCACGCGAGCCAGGGGAGTCAAACTCATGTTGCCACGCGGGCCACATTCGGTCTTCGCCGAGGTCCGGATGGCTGCACTTACAATTATTATATTTCCTCTGTCAAAATGTGTCAAATTGTCCTCTTTCCATCGCTTTTGTAATTTTCGATGCTCCCTGACTGTCTAGCTTTCATTTCGATTGCCTGTTAGAAAGCTGGACAGAGTGAGGTGACTATAAATGTAGCTCCATTATCCTTTCTACACAGTTTCGATTTGTTTTGGTCATTTCAATATCAATTGAGATTGTTTTCCCTTTAAGTTTTTTATTTTATTTTTTTTAATAACTTTTTTATTTAAAAAATAGTAAAACCACCTGCGGGTCAGACTGAATGCGCTCGCGGGGTGTTTAACACCACTGTTGTAAGTGAATGACTGTGCTGATAAGATTGGACCTCCTGCTGCAGAAGGCCTGCTGGAACCCTCCCCCAGGGATGGAGGGTAGTGTAGTGCCCTCCCCATGTTTTCTGCTACCCAAGATCTCCCCAGATCTTAACCCTCACTCACTCGCTGCCCCAGCTCTTCAACGCGCTTTTCTTTCCACACTTCCTGCATCACTCACGCCCAGGAGGGCATAGACGGCCTGTAGCCTCCACTGTCTCATCTCACTCTCAAACTATAGCGACCCATGGCCTGACCTGTTTTGGTTCTCATAATATGTATATTTTTTACCTGTAAAGAAAATCTGTATAGACTATTAGTGTGTGTGTGTGTGTGTGTATATACACAATATATTATAAATACCTATTAATATACCAGTATATGAACATATCAGGGGGCATAGTATGTTTTTTAATGATGTTTCATTTTGATTAATTTTTTTCTCTGTACATTGTTTTCTCTCGTTTAATGTGAAGACCTATATATGAATGAATGACACAATCTCTTATTGTACATTTTACATTTTAGTCATTTAGCAGACGCTCTTATCCAGAGCGACTTTTCATACTGGCCCCCCGTGGAAATCGAACCCACAACCCTGGCGTTGCAAGCGGCATGCTCTACCAACTGAGCTACAGGAGGCTAGAGTGTAGTCTGTGCTCCTTCAGAAGTGGTGAGACGGTGAAAGTGTGAATTATAGTGTGCCCTAGGACTTATTTGAAAACACAGAAAAAGCCTAAAAGGCGGTTACCATCCGTATGCCTAAAAGGCGGTTACCATCCGTATGCCTAAAAGGCGGTTGCCATCCGTATGCCTAAAAGGCGGTTGCCATCCGTATTAATGACGGTCTGAAACCCATGTTCAGCACACACCACTTTTCTCTCCTGTGTTGTGCTGCTCAACTCTAAAGTGGTGTTTCTAAGTATAAGAAATAACCTATAGGGGAGAGCTATACAAAATCTTCTGAAAATAAGTAATCTTCACAGTTGCCATTTGTAGCATGGGATCTTCATTGATTGTGACATAATACATGACTGGCAAGCCTTTGAAGGCTTACTATTATATGCAGACATTTGATAGTAAATATTTAATTGGGGAAACAAAGGAATTATTTTCAAGTCAGCAGAATGTTGAAGGGCCAAATGGAATAGTATTAATGGTCTACTTTTTGTATTTTGTCTGTTGACCTTGGTAATGGATACAGGCCTGCTGTTAATCAATCTTGGCAATACGTTTTCTGTCTAAAGTCAATGCTGATGCCAAAGGTCTCTCTTTCTCTCTCGGTCTATGGCCTGTTCTTGTCAGTCAGTGACTTTTGTCTCTCATGGCTAAAACTTGAAACTCTTGTGCATCTGTGAATTTTATTTTATTTTATTTATCCTGTTAGTAAAGCCGTAAGGCTGTTGTCTTCAGTAGCCGGGTTGGTTGGTGGGTTTAGTAAAGCATTTCCTGATTAGATCTAGAGCAGGTGAATGCATCCAAGTGCTGGGTTCTCACCGGTGTTGGGGAATAGTAAACTACATGTAGTTCAACTAGTAATTTAACTACATTTTGCATTAGTTTGGTGGTAACTTAATTCAAATCTAGGTAGTGTTTTCTTTAGTTAATATTTTTTTTTGCCATGTAGTGGTGTAGCTATCTACTAAACCTATATGGGTGAAGTAGGCAATCATGTCCTTTCTTTTTCGGGATCAGACCTGCCTAATTCTCAATTGAAACATTGTTTTTGTGTTTAATAGGCTAAATTACACATTCTGTTAACATATGTCCCCAAAGTGATAATTTCTTGCAATTTATAGTCTAATTTTTCACAATGTAGTTTTCAAAGTTACTTCAGTTAAGTAAACAAGGGGTCACCCTTTAGTGTAGCTTAACTTAACAGTGTTAAGAAATTGCTAGCTTGGTAAACTATCATTACAGAATAGCTTCCCCAAAACTGGTTCTGACAGTATTCGACAAGTGTCTTCCCAAAGTGGCTGAAAGGGTTTTGGTATCCTCCAACCATTGCAATGTAAAAGAGAAGCTCCAATCAATGCAGTATACATAATTTAAATGTTGAATATATCTAATTTAAATTAATGCAGTCTTTAATCTTTTTTATGGTCTGTTTCATGTATGTATTGTTTGTGCATTTATAGTTTGAATAAAGGCTTTAAAAAACAAAAAAAAGTAAGTCATCTACGTTTTTTTTCTTCTCACATTTAAGTTTTTTTATTTTCTTCAGCAGTCAACTAGCTAGGTAGGTAGCTGTTTAGCTTTCTAGCACATTCACTAATTTGTTTGTAACAATTAACAAGCTGGTAGTTAGCTACTTCCTATTCTTGTCAAACTGTCAACAGAGTAGCTCGCAAGCAACAAGACATGCCAAATAGCAGTCTAAAAACCACTTGAGGGCAAATTTTAATCTGATTTCATCGTTCAGACACAAGTCGCATGGCCAGGAATCAGATTTGTGTCTGACTTCAAACCACCTACGAAGGTGGTTTGAAAATATCCTATTCCATTAGCTTTTTGGCTGTTCAGACTGCATGATATGCAAAAATCGAATCGGATATGCAAAAAATTAGGACTTTAGTCACTTCAACCTTCCAATGTGAACAAGGCTTTAGAATCAGGAGCAATAGGCATATAAATGGAAAACTGGCATGGGGTGGTACGATCTAGAGAAGACAGCCCAAAACAGTGTGCCAATTAAGTTTTCTTGAAATATGACATTGATTGTTGCATGGGGAGTTTGAGGTTGTTTGTGATGTCAGTAGCACACCCCAGTCATGGGGATAGTGACCCAATCCCTTAGAGCTGTAAGACCACAAACCCCCTGTCTAAGCTTTCTCAGCTGTGGTAACTGCCTCCACTGGACTCCAGGACCTCCAGAAGATTCTAGTAGTCTGGGAGAAGGAGGGAGGGAGGAGTTACTGTAGATCTCCAGATGTCCTGCTTTGTCAACAATGTCAGCTGTGACACACAAATGACCAGCACACTCCTGAAGCTCCAGTTTGGTTAACAACAGACCAATGTCACTGACCCACACAGTACTGAAGCTCCAGTTTAAAACAGACCACAATCATCAGTCCTAGATAGCGTTCTTAACACAGGTAGAAACATGTTATATAGATTAAGTGTGACTGCAGATCCATCATAAATGTGGCATAATATTATGATGAACTTTGAAACTTGGTGTAGAATTGTTTGTAAAATGTGTTGAACCCAAAGCCACATGACTAATTCTAGTTGATCCAAACTGCATTGACACGTTCATGAATTATTCATTTAATTTATTTATCTTTACAATACATTGTATTAGAAACATGTTGGAGTTTGTGTTACTGACACAAGCACATTTAGCTACCTGATTTAAGCACTAACCTGACATTTTGGATAATTATTAATTTCTTAGGAACCATTCATAAATAAGACATAAATAACGTCTGGATCAGTCAGCTGCCTGAAGGCAGTAATGTCATACAAGCTAATATAAAACATAGTAGATCATATACTTAAAGTGATGCTACAAAGGTTTTGTATAATTTCATCCAGTAGTTTGAAAAGTAGCACTCACAAGCCCTGAAAATTGTGTACAACGTCATCCATTTCGTAGGATATGTTACGTACTGCAAAAAAAAAAAAAAAGTGCAAAAATACCCCAAGAATTATGTTACGAATTTGTAAGTGCGTAAGATCCTGTTCAATCTCTTTAAAACATGTCATGGGCAATTCTCAATCATCGTACACATATGCTACACATACAGCTAAAATTTCACATGGGAAAACTGTCCTAAATAACAGCACAGT